ACAGTTTATTAAACTCCTTGGGTAGGAAAAAAAACCCCCAGTATTTCTGAACAGCCTTGGCAGTGTTTAGCAAGAGGAAGTCTGTGTATCTGCCATTACTGGTTTCTACAAAAAGTTTATAAGGGGTCAGTGGGCCATCCAAATAACGCTACACATATACGGTAAAAGGAATTTGTAGTGTTGGCAGCAGTCCAGAGAACCTCAAAGGCTGGGAAAGTTATTCTCTGCTTTTTCTAGCACCGCTGTAATTCGGAAACAACTTGTTTACTTTATGAATTCTTGTCAAAACTCGGTGCCAGAAACATGAACTGCTTCTAAATGTTGTTGACTGGATGAGATCTTGAAGCAAATGCACAAATCTGCAGTAGCTGTATTGCAGTGAATGATTACAGACAGCCTGCTGTTCTTTTCCATAATGCACATTTTAAATCACATTTAAAACCAGAAATTAGTGATTAGGGTTAGGCATGTTCCAGGTACCCAAATTTAGACCCTGTCTCTTCAGTGAGTACTATGAGAGTTGAAAACTGTTGGTCAGCAAAGGGATGTTTTATGGCATTGATGGATCTAAGGAAACAGACGGTACTCGTGCAGCCCCAGTCTGCTGAATGGTATCCGCCCAGTTGTCTCTGCAGGGTGTTTTGGGGTTGGGAGCACGTGGAGATGTACAGAAGGTGTGTTCTTTGCCAAAAAAAGACAATCTCCAAAACCTGCTGTTTCTGGAGATGCGAGCTCGTTCCCTCTTTCCTCCTTCTTCTCTCAAAACCAGGCGCCGCTACAGCACCGACTCCAATCAACCCCTTCCAAGTGAATCAGCCTCAGCCCCTCACTCTAAATCAGATGAGAGCGAGTCCTGTGATGGGAACCAGCCCTTCTTTCAGTGCTGTGCCACCGATAAGCATGGAGCCAATACCTCTGTCTTCCATGGCCCCAGTGCCTGTGGGAATGGCACCGATACCAGCTATGGGCACTGTGGCATCTCTAACGAGGATGGGCCAGGGGCTGAACGTGAGCATTGCAGGATCAATGACCCAACCTCTTCACAGTACAGGAATCCCGCCATCAGCATCCCAGTCTACAAATACAACTAACCCTTTTCTCCTATAAAGACCCAATTAAAGGAACTTTCCTTTCATAGTGTTTCCAGGCTGAAGTCTTTACAGCGAAACGAACGTGGCCTGTGTGGACTGAACGGTGTGTAAGAGACTTGGAAGTAGATTTGCAGTTTACAGTTATGATCTTTGAAGAGTTGTCTCTACTTACCAGTTAATCTAAATCTAGTCTTTGCTACAGATGGTACCTTACTTTGGCTTGTTGAGCATTATGTGAAATGTTCAGACTTTTCACCAAAGTTAGATTCTGCCCATTTTGTTACTTTGTTAATCATTTCAATACACTTTCTAGGGAAGAACCTGCCATTTTAAACTCCGTTGGCTATTTTGTAGATGTCAGATGATGTGCTGGATCCTGAAATTACTATTTACCTGCCATCTGTCACTTCCTATGCCCATATGATAGGCCTGAGATTCAGAGTGCTAGTGAATGTTTTGCACATAACTATACACAGTTCTAGACTGTTGGTTCACCCATAGTCCTTACTCTTAGAAGAGAACGATTCGGAGGGCCCAGGTGGCTGGTTTTTATGCATTAAAACATTGCAACGCAAAAATCGCACTGCTTTCCTTATCAGAGGTTTGACTGAGAAAACAAGCTTGTCTCAAAAGGAAAAGAGAAGAAAAAAAAAAAACAAACCCCAACATAAAAAAAAAAACAACCCCACAGACAAAAAAAAAAAACCCCAGCCCAAGAACATTCTCAAGTTGTCAGTATAACGTGTGCTGTCGTACGCAGTGTTGAATTTGTACACTACTCTCTAAGGACTCCTGAGGAACTCTCTTGTGAGTGGCATGCTGCACTCGTGCTGAGTGAGTGTCCTGCTCTGTGCTTGTCCAGTACCAGCTTCGTTTGGAAGTTACCATGTGTATTTTGTTTTTTATTTGACTTACAATGTGAGTTGAAACAAAAGAAAAGAAAAGAAAAGAAAAAAAAAAAACTACACAAAACAAAACAAACAAACAAAAAAAGAAATACAGCGGGACAACTTTGAATTCAGTTTCACCGGGGCAAGCTTTAAAACTAATTCAGGCTTAACCTTGCTATATGCAGTTACTCTTGTATACTTTTGCACATATTTTGTTTAGTACAGTTTCATATTTGAGTTTGCAGAGTTACCTAATAGTCCTTTTTTTTTTTTCTTTTTTTTTTTGCTAATTTTTATAATGTGGTTCTTATTTAACTGTCTGGTTTTGATAGATTTATCAAGTCTGGCTGAAAAAATTAAGATATTGGCAAAATGTCATTTTTATGGTTTTAATGCCCTCTTATTTATGGTTTTAGCTCTTTGTTTCTGTAAAGAGAGTTTAAAAGGGAAGATTAACACTAAAATATTTACTTTTAAATGAAGTATTCGTAATGCAAATCAAAAACAAATTCTCGTGACTAATTATTTTTAGATGAATTGAATTTGAGCATAACATGATTTAAGACTACATTAAAAAGCAAAAACACTAAAGTCGCCTTTCCCTTGATTTGTTCCCGTTTTCCAATGACCAAACGGACGGACCTTGAGCCTTTATGAAGATCAGAAGAGAGGCTGGTTTTTTGGTTGTGTTTTTTTATTTCCTTGTAATACTTCTTGAGATGTTAAAAAAATCTAACGTACGAACACGACTCATTAATTTTATTCACTAATTGTTTTTCTTAATGAAAGGTGCACTCCATATTAATAACCGGTTCCATTTACAACTATTAATGGTAAGCTGAACTATACATTTGTTTTTTAACTTGCATGTCTGGACTCATCGGCACTAAACCACGCTCAGGTTTCAGCCGGGGTTTCTGGTGGAAACCTGGTCTTCTCGAAAGATGGCAACGTTTCTGAGCTCTGCTTTCACAAGCAACGTGGAGAGGGATGTCCCAGTGCTTGCTGCTGCCTCGAGGGCATCTCCCTGTGAACGAACTGATGCATCTTGGTGGCCTTTCCCTAATTAAGAGGGGGGGGAAGAAAACTCAAAACAAAACGAAGAAGCTGAAAGGAATTGTACCAGAGTTGTGTGTTCTGGTGTCATGATGGGACTGTGCCAATCCAGGGTCGTGTGCCACAGGAAATTGGGACTGGCTCATGTGGAAGGGTCTGGATTCTATCTTGTGGTGGGTAGGGGAGGCTGAAAGACTATCAAATCTAGGGTACAATCACAGATGTTAGCTGGGTAGGTCAGTGTAGCTCTAATTAGTATAACGGAATGCTAAATGTGTGGATGTTTCTATGCAGATTGTTCTATCCTCTTGAATACTGTTGAATTTTGCAAGTAGGATTCAGAATATTCATCTGCTCTTGTTTTTCTATAGGAGGAAAGAGAATTACTGTCCACACCCAGTATGTCTTTAAGAAAACAAAACAAAACATTCATGTTGCCTTTCAGAGTAAGGAAAAATACTTTACTTTTTTTGTTGTTGTTGAAGTTATTGAAAAATGTAGACCAGGAAGGGTGTGATTCTTGCAGATGAGGGGGAGGGAAAGTGCTTTCCAATTGATCTGTGGCAAGATTAATCCTTCATTATTTCTCCAATTTATTTTTATCAACAGTGGAATTGAGGTCACTTGATGGTTTTTTTCCCCTTCGTTTGTCACCTGAACGCATTTGCGACAGTTAGATGGGGCATTGTCTGTTCAGTTCTTAACTGCATCCTCTGGTGAAACACCAGGGAACTGTTTTTGGAGGCAGGATGGGGTTGATCGTAAGTATTTAATCTTCAGTTCAGAGTCATGATCTGTCACCATGAATTGAGAAGAATGTGCTGTTGGTTTGGTAGGGAGCCCTCGCTTAATGAAACTGCTGAATGGCAAATTGTTGCTTTTACCGAGCCACTTCTGTAAGAACTCTATTGCTTTTACATTTATATATATATATATAGACATATATCGCACAATAAACCATGACAAGGCACTCTGAGGAGCCATCAGCCCAGACTCTGGTGCTGTGAAGCTTTAGGCTCAGGACTAACCGTGCCCAGGGGAGGTGGGTGGGTTGTGGCAGGAGCTGAGTTTAAGAGAAGAAGCTGGTGTTTTGGTAAATCTGCCGCGTTCCTGGGCTGGAGACGTGTCTGTGTCTCCAGCGTCGTGCAGATGTCAGGTGCTGTAGCAGTGACACTGAAGGGTGGTTGTTGTCCCAGCTGGCTGAAGCTTCAGTTGTGTCCAGAATGGTAAATCTCTTAATTTTTTTGGCGATAATTTAACTTGCTCTCCAGAATAATTCTTCCTCCCTCCTCACCCTCCCACTACTTTTTGCATGGAGGACGGGTGCGTATCCCATCACATCTGCTCTGGCGTATTTCTCCAAATGCATTTCCCCTCTTCCCCCTTCTTTTCTCTCACTTGCAATTATTAAAAGTGCTTTTTAATTTTTAAAATGTTAGTAGTATCCCAAAATAGCCTTACTGGTCAAATTGACCAAAGATAAAAGTGTTAAATATTTTGTAAAAAAAAAAAAAAAAAAAAAAACAATTAAAAAAAAAAAAAAAAAGAATTTAAAAAAAAAAAACAAACCCTTGGCATAATTTTAAACCCAAAATAAGCTCAGTTATTTATTCAGTTTTATACTATATAGAAACTAAACTACATTGAGGGGACAGGGAAGGAAAACCATGGTGGGTTGTGGTGTTTACAGGTTTGGTTTTTTTTTGAAGTCCCGTAGCTAAGACAACTATTGTTAATCCATCTTCCCTTTTGCTGTTACAGTTTCTAATGTGTACTGTATGTATTAATATTGCACAGATTGTGGAGAAATAGATGGGTTTATTTTTCACAGCGGAATCTCACAAGAATCGCTTCCTTTACAAGTGTTACAATTTAAATATTTACCAAACTGTTTTCATAATAACTGGGAGCCGGCTGCTTTTTATGAATTTGTGCTGACTATTGACATTATTTACTGTAGAAATAATTTATCATTTGTACTATTGTATCATAACGTCTGTATCTTTGTGTCATTTTTTTCCCAAGCCATGTCACAAATGTGATATTTAATAATGCCATCAGAACAGTGGAAAGACAAAGGGGGTTTGTAGGTGACTGGTCAGAATTAAAATTGTATTGCTTATATTCCAGCCGTGTTGCTTTTTCAAGACTCTGCGTAATGTTTATCATCCCATTCAAAAAAAAAAACCCCAAAACCCAACAAAACCAAACCAAACAACAACCTGTCTCTGCTGCCACGCTTGATTTAATTTTCCAGAAAGTTGATGGATTGGTTGAGATGATTTAAGGTTTGTGCTAGAAGTCCTAGGTGCTAGGAGAAATCTAACCGTTATTGAGAGTTAATGATGCTTCTTGTACATTGTCAATGTGATTTCTTGGATGCGTTCGTGGCTTTCCTGGGCCAGGCCTGCTCTTGCTGTGAGAAAGGAGGGTTTCTTCGCTTAAAAATCGGAATCAGTTGAGACCTTACTAACTCAATAAAAATGAAGACTTGTTGTGTTGCAGGTGGCTGAATTGCTTCTTTAAACCACGTTTACCCTTCAAACGGCGCTGTTGGAGGGATGGTCAAGTGTTGTCGCAGTGGAGGCGTCTGTGTTTATGTCAAGGCAGAAGTCTGGGGGCAGTGTGACTTTTAAAGCCATCGCTCATGGCATCAGGGTTGGGGTGCTGTGATGACACTGACTTTGGGAGTCCTCCCTTCCCCTTTTTGCAGTGTTTAGGTCTTGCCCTTCCCGCAGCCTTGGCTCTGCCCCATGGATCGAGTGGCCTTGCGGATGGCGTAGCAGGGAACCTGCCTCTGGCTGGGAAACGATTGCACCTTCTCATTCTGGAGGGTTTAAATTGAAGGGCACTTCATTAGCAGGCGATTTCAAGAGCTGCCTCTCCAGAGCCCATCCTGGTTTCCTGTAGTTAAGGTTTGCTGCCAGTCACACTGATCACTCATCAAATACTTAATTTCTTAATGCTGAAGCTGCAGCGGTGCTGGAGACCTGACTGTCGGAAAGGTGGCCCTGGGGAAAACAGTTTGGGTTTCAGATGGGTGGTACAGAGCTGGCTGGGGGTGTTGTGCAGACCCACTGCCCCAGTAACGCTCCAGTTTCCCTGGAGAAAAGCTGCCTCCGCTCAGATCTTTGATTCATTTTGCTGCTGGTTTTGGGTCGTTAAGGAAAACAGAAAAACCTCCTTTGCCAGCCCAGGTACCTGTTGCTTTTTGTACCTCTCGTTTTGGCAGAAGGCTGCTCTCCACCCCTGTGCAGGGGAATCTTCTGTGCACCTGGGTTTGGTTATTGTTCCTCTTTTTCTGTGTGATCAGTATTTCACCATTTTCCTCTGGCCTTTGAAAATTGCGTGTTTTAAAAGCTGCTCGTTACAGGAGGGATTTAGGAAGGGCTCAAAGTGGAAACTTTGGTGATGATGATGGTGCTCTTCAAAAGGAGCTGAATACTGTGGGGCTGTCGCGAGCCGAGGGGTTGGTGGAAGGAGCTGGAGCTGATAAAGCCTGTGTGAGAGATCTGGCTGAGCCTTCCTCTGACCTTGGGCAAGCTGCTCTCCCCCTCTGCCGCGTTTCCTCTTCCTCTTCTGTGCCGTGAGGTGGTATTTGCTGCTCTCGCGGAGGAAGAGGGTTATCTGGATAAAGTGTTATCTAGAGGTTTGCCCTCATCTCTGCTGCTGTTGCCAAAATATTT